GGTGGAAGAAGGTTCCACCCTCCAATTCAGTGTTTCTCAACCCCACAGACACTTTAAGATGGGCGGACTTCAACTCCCAGGATTCCCCAGCCAGCTGTGCTGTGCTGGCTGGGGTATCCTGGGAGTTGTAGTCCGCCCATCTTAAAGTGACAGTGGGGTTGAGAAACACTGAATTGGAGGGTGGAACCTTCTTCCACCGGAAATTGTGTGGACTCGGAAGTTGCTTCCCAGAATAATTTTGATGGCGTCGGCTTTCCGTAGAGAAAGTCTGCCTTTGGTTCGTTTGCAATCTTTTCAATTATTACTATTTATTTCCATACTCTGGACGGGTGGTATGTCCAGAGTATGTACAGTTGTAGCAGGCGCAGCCCCAAGGAGCTAATGGAGCCCCAGTAGTAGCCCCAGTAGTAGATGGATTCCCAGTAGTAAAGGGAGTCCCAGTAGTAGACCCAGTAGTAGATGGAGTCCCAGTAGTAGCCCCAGTAGTAGACGGAGACCCAGTAGTAACTCCAGTAGTGGAGGGAGTCTCAGTAGTAGCCTCAGTAGTAGATGGATTCCCAGTAGTAAAGGGAGCCCCAGTAGTAAACCCAGTAGTAGATGGAGACCCAGTAGTAACTCCAGTAGTGGAGGGAGTCTCAGTACTAGCCCCAGTAGTAGATGGATTCTCAGTAGTAGCCCCAGTAGTAGATGGGTCCCCAGTAGTAGCCCCAGTAGTAAAGGGAGTCTCCGTAGTAGCCCCAGTAGTAGATGGAACCCCAGTAGTAGCCCCAGTAGTAGATGGATTCCCAGTAGTAGACCCAGTAGTAGATGGAACCCCAGTAGTAGCCCCAGTAGTAAAGGGAGTCTCCGTAGTAGCCCCAGTAGTAGACGGATTCCCAGTAATAGACCCAGTAATAGATGGAACCCCAGTAGTAGCCCCAGTAATAGACGTAGCTCCAGTAGTAGAGGGAGTCCAGTAGTTGCCCTAGTAGTAGCAGGTGGAGCCCCAAAGAGCTGGTGGAGCCCCTGTAGGAACCCCCATAGTAGGGGGAACCCCCGTAGTAGCAGGTGGCGCCCCCAAGAGCTGACCCCTCGCGTCCTCTCCTCCCCGCAGGAGCTTCCTGGCCCGCGAGGACATCGGCATCGTCCTCATCAACCAGTTCATCGCGGAGATGATCCGCCACGTCATTGACGCCCACAACAAGTCCCTGCCGGCCGTGCTGGAGATCCCCTCCAAGGAGCACCCTTACGACGCCTCCAAGGACTCCATCCTACGCCGTGCCCGGGGCATGTTCACCGCCGAAGACTTGCGATAGGTCCGGCCAGGAGACTCCCACACACCCCCTGCCCCTCCCCGCCAACTTCCTCCCTGGGCTGGTAGTCCGAGCTTCTTGACCCGTTCCTCTCCAAGCATCGCCTTGTGGTCCCTCAACCTCCTGCTCCTCGTCGTGTGGAGGGAGAACGTGTCTTCCCTGGAGACATCGTCTCCTTTGGTCTTTGTGAGCGTCCCAAGGCTACTCCTCACCCTCACGGGAGCCGGGAACCCGGAAGAACCGTGGTTCTAAGCGTGGCTGGATGGGGAATTCTGGGAGTTGAAGTCCACAGGTCTAAGGAACCGCGGTTGAGCGTGAAGTTCCACCATTCAGGGTTTCTCCACGACTTGGAGACCTGTAGACCTCAATGCTGGTGGCTTGGTGCCCACTTCCCCTTCATCTGGGGGACTCCCGGGGAGAAGGCCCTCATCTTCTCCACGGGGCCCAGTCTGGGTTCCCCCATCGTCTCGGGGGGTCACTGTCGGCCTGGTTGCCTTCCCATCTTCCTGCTTTGATCCTGGTTCTTCGTGACCAGTTATGGTCCTCACCGCAGATCTAGAGATACTTTGGCCCAAGTCCCCTGCTGCTTCTCCCTGTCCTCCTCCTCCTCCTCCCTGCCCTTTGAACCCTTTCCATGAAGATGGACCCCCCCAAAAATTGGGTTTGACATTAAGATGGGGGATATCCTGGTTTGATGCCTGCCAGAAGTTGATTTGTCTGTCTGTCTACAGTGCAGTAGCCCAACCATCTCCCTCCCTGAGGAATTTCAACCCAAATGAAAAAAATTCCCTCAATTTTTGGCCTTCCTTCCTTCCTTCTCCTTCCGATGGCCCAGATGTCCCCCTTGACCGTCGGTTGGCCAGGACGGAAGTTCTCCTCCGACGAACCATTTGGGGTCTTCTTCAGCCTGATGCTTGGCTGCTTTGAAGGTGTGTGTGGACTTCAACTCCCAGAATTCCTCAGCCAGCAGCGTTCTAAGCACGGCAGGCTGGGGAATTCTGGGAGTTGGTCCCTAGGTCTTCGAATGGCCAAGGTGGAAGGTCCACCAACCAACTCAGGATTTTAGCCACTTTAAGAGGCGGGGACTTCAACTCCCAGAATTCCCTAGACAGCAGGGTTCTAAACAAGGCCAACCGGGGGATTCTGGGAGTTGTAGTCCACAAGTCTTAAAAAGTGGCCAAATGGAGAAATCCTGGCCTACCGGCTTCCCACAGCCCATCTGGGAGGGGGGGGAGGATATTTGGGGTCTAGACACCCCCCTGCCTCCAAACTGGGAGACCCTGAACCCCTTTTCTCCCCCATCCTGCCCACGAAGTGATTATCTAACATTAATTGCAGTTTCTGGTGTCTGGGAAGCATCCTTGTCTGTTCAAACCAAAACCCCCCACTGGATGGAAGGAGATAATAAAACGAATCTCTGTTTGATCTCGGTCTGTTGGAATGCTTAACCTGGGCGAGGTGGGAGGCGATTCAGACGTACCGGGGCTCGGTTTCTCCATCTGCGTGGCTGTTTCCGGCTCGGTGAGATATTTTCAGCCCCGGCTCGGAGGATGGGGGCGGGGGGGTGTCCTTCCTTTCTTTGCCATCTCTCTCTCTCTCTCTCTCTCTCTCTCTCTCCCTCTCTCTCCCCCCCACGGGGAAGTTGACGAGGCCGATCCTTGGCACGGGCCTTGCGAGTCGCTTCTGGTGCAGAAAGGGCCACATCGAAGCGTTTGGGGATGATGGTTTGCTTGTGGTCCACGGTGATCTTGAGGGACAAAAGCAGCTCAGGCGGAAAAGCATGGAGGCCGTTTTCTTCATTCGTTCAATCCGTCAGCTGCCTGGGTCACTCAGAGGGATCTGGGTGAAGGGTTTCTCGCTTGCTTTTTCTTTTCTTTCTTTTCTTTTCTTATTTGTTTTCTTTCCCTTCCCTTTCTTTTTCTTCTAATGCTAAGAAAGTAAGCATGAAAATTCTAGTTTTTGTTTAGAAGTCTTTCCTTCCTTTCCTTCCTTCATTCTGTCTAATCCTTCCTTCCATCTAATCCTTCCCCTTCCTTCCTTCCTTCCTTCTGTCCGTCCGTCTAATCCTTCCTTCCATCTAATCCTTCCCCTTCCTTCCTTCCTTCCTTCTGTCTAATCCTTCCTTCCATCTAATCCTTCCCCTTCCTTCCTTCCTTTCTTCCTTCTGTCCGTCCGTCCATCTAATCCTTCCTTCCATCTAATCCTTCCCCTTCCTTCCTTCCTTCCTTCC